ATGGGTTGTAAATAACGAGGAATTTGGCCTTTTAAACATTTTCTTAGAGATTTTTCATCCTACGGACTTATTTTTTTTTCTCGAGCAAATAGTGACTTAAAACACGTATTTCTATGGGAATTTTAACGTTTTGAATTTCACTCGTGTGTTTTTTTATGGGAATATTTGACGTTTTGAATATTGGATAGGCATTTTCTTGTAGGACTTAATTATAACACATGATTGTATCTATGGAATTCATTCATCAAATATCATACCTCTTTTCATTCATCTGATTTTAAACCCCTCTCCCTCTCCATCGAATTCATACCTCTATATTTCTTCATCGAATTCATACCTCTATCTTTCTCAATCGAATTCATATCTCTATCTTTCTCAATCGAATTCATATCTCTCTTCTACATCAAATATCTTACCTCTCTTCTTTCATCGAATTTCATACTTCTCTTCATTCATCGCATCTTTACCCCTCTCCCTCTCCATCAGATTCATACCCCTGTCTCTAGTCTTCCTCTCTCTATCGAATTCATACCTCAGCTTCATTCACCGAATATTATACCCCTAGCTCTCCCTCTCCATCGATTGAATTCTTACCTCTTTTCATTCATCGCATAATTACCCCTCTTTCTCTATCAAATTCATACCTCTCTTCATTCATCGAATATTATACCCCCTCCCTTTCCATCGAATGTCTATACTTTGTGTTTGACTTTCTGAGGAATGTTTACGCCGTTGGAGGTTGGACCAATATCTAATGTTCGATCAACTAAATAAAGGAACAAAGGGTATAGGTCTAGGTGTCTTTTGTATTTACAATACCTCTTTTCAGACTCATTTCTCTCTTAAGACTTCTGCCCAGTTTGATTTTTCCAATGTATGACGACGCATTGACTCCTGTCTCCAAGGACGCTCTGGATCCATCTCAACAGGTTTCCGCTAACGCCATGAGCTCTGATCTTCTTGAGTAGTCTCTGGTGCGGTACAGAGTCGAAAGCCTTGCCACATCAACGCCACCTTCTTCATCAATCATGCCAGTCCACTCATTTAACACTTCTATCAATTGTGTTACCCACGACCTGCTGGGACCGAAGCAATGATGGTGATCACTCAAAAGCTGATTAACATCCATAAAATCCATAATCTGGTCACGTAGAATAGACTCCATCATCACCTTACACACAATTGAGGTAAGGCTTACAGACCAATAGATTCCCGGAGATGTAGTTTTTCCTTTTTTTGTAGATAGCCCTTACATGAGCAACCTTCCATGAACCAGGAAGTTTTCCCTCCTGGAGTGACTTGTTGAAGATGGTGGTCAATGGATCAGCGATACTATCTGCAGTCTCCTCCAGTACTCTGGGGTGTATGCCATCTGGTCCAGGAGACTTTGATAGGTTTATTTTTTTTAATTTCTTCTCCACTTCAGTAATACTTATGTCGTATTCTTCTAGGGCTGCACCTTCAAACTTTGATTCGACATCATTATACACCACTGCATTATTTGCACATGCCATTAAGTAGGGTCGCTATAGGCACAATCAGGGTGCAACTATTTTACCTACAATGTTACGCATCTCTCCTGGAAACACAAAGTCATTTAATCAAATGTTTGTGGCCTGAAATGTTGGACCATATGAGTTTTCATCAGGCAGCAACTTTTGTTGGAATCATATTGCTCCGATTGTCTCATTTTCGCTCGCGTGAACATTGCCAGCACAAACCACTGACCTCTACCTCCTGAACGGATCATCGCCCATTCCCATTCACTATACGTTACGTACTAAAAGGCTGTATTGTCTGACCGTTCATGAATATTCATGTTTTTGCTAAACTCGGCAAAATGTTTGCTTTTACTAAATGGAAAAATTACGGTGGGGGGGGGGGGGGGGGGGGTTGGATGAAATGGACATAATGAAATAGGCAGAAGTGATCCATGATAATTCATGCTTTTTATGTTTCGTGTGCTCGACATGTGTATTATAGGCAATGACGAGCTTGCAACCTATTTTGAAAAATTACGGTGGGTGAACTTTCAAAAGTCAATGAGACATGAGGGCTCCAATGAAAGAGCTAGTGATAACATACGTCGGGGTGGATGTGCTTTTCGTTTAAACAAAAAATGAATTTTTAACGATTTTTAAAAAGTCCATAGGCTAACATGTTAGGCTGCTGACTCTGATCATGCTCTGACGATAAGGGGCGTTGTGAAATGAGACTAAACGGAGCCATATGTTAACTTGTTTTAGCTGTGGAAATAGAGGGCCAAAAATACCACTTTTTGGCTGTTACCCATTTGTACTTTGAAAATGGATTTTTTTTTCATCAGTTGTTAAATATGCTATGTCTTTCCATGTCCATGACGGCTTGAGAATTGACCCAAGAAATTGCGATACAGTGGTTATTTCTGTAAAGAGACAAGCGTAACACTTTTTTGAAAAACAGCTAAGTGCATACTATTGCCTCTATGATTAATATATTTCAGCTTTATATTAATTGGTTATTGGTTATATTTTCTGGGTTACATATTGTCCTATCATCATCAGAAAAAAAATCGAACATAGATACAAACTTTACAAAAATATATCCCCCATTGCGAGCATAAATTTTGTCCGGAATTTCCTGTAGTGTCCGTAACGGTGTCATTCCTGCTATATGAAAATGTTTTCAAAGTTCTTATATAGTTTGCTTCGTGTAACTACCCCGGGGACTAGCTGTGGTAGAATAATATTCAAAATATATTGCACCCTGATTGTTGCAATACCGAGTACGTACACAGACCCCAAATCCAGAGTTTCCATTGCCTAATATTGTTTTCCATTTTCCTTTCTTTGTTTTTTGTTTTGTTCTTGTTTATCATGTATGTGTGTGCGTGTGTGTGTGTGTGTGTGTGGGGGGGGGGGGAGGGGGTACAACTTAGTTTTTTTTATAGTGCTTGCTATATTCCTAAATGTCTCTAAAAGAATTGGCACCATTTGTATAGCTTGCAGTGTGAGGGTTTTATGATTACAGTAATATATAATCACAAAACGAAAAACAACGTTGTGGGTCACAGAAAAAGCTTTAGTGATAGCCACTTCAACTCTTCCATGGTTTTGAAAATAATAAAAGCAACAACAGTAGGCCTACTAGAATACATAATTCATTTTATAGATATAAGAAACGATAATTATAATGATAATAATAAAACAAATAATAATGAAAAATATGATAATATAATGATGATATTTACGAAATGATATTTACAATTTCTGATTTTCAAACTGAAAGATATAGGCCTGCATCGTCATCACTATTTATATCTCGCTCTCCCGTCTCTCCTTTTCCCTCGTCCCCTCTCTCCTCTCCTCTCTTTCACACACCAATACATAAACACCAACTCGGCCCTTTCCCCCTTCCCCTTAAAGGTACTATGTCCCATTTGCAGGCCAAAAAAATGAAAAAGTTAAATTCCAACTGCATTTGAAAGATAATACTAATTTAGAACTTCTCTAAAAAAGGTGGGGCTTGAAAATGTCTTCAAGTGGGAAAATAACGACTATTAGTTGTCAAATCGACTTTAGGGCTATAGAGCCCAAAAGTAATAGTCTTCATTTTTAGACAATTGTACCGAATGGTCATACGTTTTATGCTGCGCAAAGATTTAATCAGTTTAATCTTGGCCATCACAAGAAGTGGATTATTGATGTAGACAAATGCTCATGTACCCTTTACAACTCTTTTCATATATGTTATTACCAAAGAAGAAAAAAGCCAGTCAGTCACTCAATAGTCTCTGACAGTGAAGTGTAGCAAGTAAACGGGTTTCCTTGCATAATTTGAATATAAGGACACTGCTAACGTTTAAATTTCACAGATAGTACATACATGACATATTCGTAATTCCTGCAAAGTTCTACAGAATTTGAGGTTGGCTGCAAAAGGGACATAGTACCTTTAACACTCTTCATTTCCAGTCATATTTTGTTCCCTTCTATGGTAAACCAAGTCTCTTTAGAATAGTACTACAATAAATCATTATTATTATTGTTATTATATTGGTTTGGTTGTTTGTTTGTAAATGTGTATTTCTATTGTACTTTGTTTTTCTGTCTTGCTTTCTTGTATTGCCTCTTATTGGTTTTGGAAAGCATATTTCCAGATTTGTGGACAAGAATAAATAAATGATGATTGATCAATGAATCCAAAGGGTTCTTGCTATAGCCCTGTTTACTGGCGACTCACAAATATGGGTCTTACTCGAACTAGGATGTCTCTACCGGGACCTGGGGGGTGTTTCACAAAGATCCTTAGTTGATCTTAACTCCATGTTGGACTTAAAAATTATGGAGAGCCATTTGTAGCCTTAAAATTTAATATATTCAAAAGCAAAAGTTATTCTAGACTTTTTATAAATTGCACATTAAGAACATGAAATCTCCTTGATATTAGAAAATATGAATGATTTGAATCAACATTTTATGCCTTTTAAAATAACTTTTACGAAATATTTTCATAGATGCTAACGGCTTCCCATGACTTTTAAGTCCAACTTAGAGTTAAGTTCGACTTAGAATCTTTGTGAAACACCCCCCCCCCCCTGATCTCATATGTCCCGGTAAACCCCAGTGCTTTCTTCGTTAAACAAATATATATATATATATATATATATATATATATTATCTTCTTGTTACGTATAAAATGTGATAACCAAAAAGTGAGAAGACTAAGAACTTTTCTTATTTTGTTTTGCTTAAATTTGTTATTCATTTCAAAGAAGAAAAAAAAAAAGCAAAAAAAAAAAGCAGAAATTACAATAATCTGAAGGAAAACAATGCCGCAGTTTCCCGAGGCATATTTGAGGGAGCCGTTATTGAAATCGAAATGAAGTGTATGTACTATTAGTAAATAGTGATATCCATTGAAAAAAGATGCTATATAATATTGGATTTTATACATCTACCTTGATTATAAATAACATGAATACTGAAAATGAAACTTCAAAGAAAAGCAGAACCATGATATTTGTTTAACACCAAGAATTAAGTTTATTGCACATTGCCAAAAAAGTTTTATAATGGTACATTTCAAGTAATTTATGACTGTCTTGTTTTACAGTAGAACATGTGTTAGAGCCTTTCAATTCTAGATAGATGTGATCATCTTTCCAACTATTTGAGTTGAACATTTCTGCCGCTCTTCACTATGGCAAATAACCAAGATTAATGCTGTTTAAATTTGTTGTGACGGCAAACAGAACGGGTGGCACGTAATAGAGATAGCTGACACAGTGGACAAGGTTGCTGGTTCTATACAAGTTTGTGCTAAACAATGGCGTGGTGATCACACCAGCGCTAAACACTGAATTTGCCCCAGTCTAGTCCGATGCTTGAATGAATGAGTTCGAAGTTTTATAGAAGTGACAAGAGTATTGCCTCAAAATATTGATGATTTTATGAGCAGCATACTTTTTAACCATAATGCTATCAATGTTTCCGATCAAGATCATGTTAATGCCTTTAATATAAACACATTATTCCTTTGCTTCTCGTCGGTAATAAATGATTTTTATTTAAATTACTGAATTGGTTGAGATTTTAATTTCGGAGCAACAACTCCAATGGAATGTGCACATTCCGGACCAGCCAAAGATATGTGCAGATTCCATGCGAGAACTGTTGCTCTATCCAATTAACTTAAAAGCTCTTGAGTTATTTTTATTTTTTCTTGTTTAGGGATGGCATCAAGTACCATCTTATCATTGCGTGACATTTGAATCAATGGAAATACTTCAATCATGTAAAGGAAGGAAAACGTAATGGATGTCAATTATATACATGATTAAGCATTGACATAATTAAGTATATGACATAAATATCATAAAATAGAGGTTGAAGATTTTTCCACCAATTAACACATTATAATGACTGTGTGCTTATAGATATATACAACAGATTCAAATTCCTTCGAATAGAAGGTTTGTTGAAAAAGAAAAAGGAAATTTCCCCCACATTCAGTTCAATTTTAAAAACGGATGTCAGTAAAGATTGCTTTGAATGTTAAGTTTATCTCAGACACAATGTTAACCAGATTGAATCTATAGTTTACAGTTTAATAGTGTGTATATTGCACAATAATTGGACAGAGTTCCAATAGAAAATGGTAATGCTGATAACTATACAACGTTCACAGACCTCCTCAGCGAATCTTCAAATAACATGAAGTGCTTGGATGCCAACGTAATTGATTCTTTGTCTAGAAAGTATAATTGAAGTTTACAGCATTAATACCTTAAACTACATAGCGACAGTAAAGTATACTTTAGTGTGATAGTTTTCTTCAAAATGGCGGCAGGTGAACCAAAACGTAATGACAGATATTTGAAGATCTTTGTATTATCATTCCAATATAAACACTATGCCCTTTTGCGAACAGAGATGTCAATTTATGTGTCTAGTTTGAGGAGAGTCACTTCCGTTTGTATATATATATATATATATCTATATATATATATATATATATATATATAAGGTGACGAGAGTTCATAGGTCACAGGTCAATTGTGGACAGCTTTTCCCCGCTCCTGCGTTGAGGTTGAAAAGGGCCATTTCCATATAGGCGTCAAAGGTGAGAAGAGTTTAAAGGTCATAGAAAAGAGTCGGGTCTGCACACCAAAGTAAGTCAAGTGTTTCAAATGTCAGCTGGAAAAAAAAAGAAAAAAGGAAAAGAAAAGGCAAACACTTTGGTTAGAATAGAGTAGGATACTGAATGTAATAAATATTTGTGAGCTATCCATTACTATTTTTCTTTATTTAAGTGAACCGGTAACATTGTAAAAGGTTGAACAAAGAAGTGCGTAAGTATTGTACGACATGTTATTTTTATATTCCTTTTACTGTACAGGCCCTCTAACATAACAATTATTAATTATAGGTATTTCTATAGCGCCGTCTATCTAGAAATTCTATTCCGAGGCGCATTAATTATTACCCCGGCTTTAGCCTAGCTGCCATTACAGCGCTCCAGCATTTCAAGGAATAATTCTTGCTAGGTACCCATTTACCTCACCTGGGTCGAGTGGACATTAGTGCCGTATCGGGGATCGAACCACGACCTTTGAATTTCAAGTCAAGTGCTTAAACCACTCGACTACAACACTTCTACAACATGCAAAAAATCCCGAAAACAATTATTGAACCCCAAAGATATTTATGGTTTTCTTAGAAGGCTTAACAGTACATTCCTACCAGATTCAACCTTTTTCCAAACCGTTTTTCAATGAAAAAAAGAATTAAAGCAGGCATTTAATGATCTTGTTCACACTTTAAAGTTTGGAATGGTATATAGATGAAATGCAGTGCTATGTGACGATTTACATTAACCTAATATTAATTTTATGTGAAGTATAATAATATAGTTCGAAGAATTTAGGAATCGATCAGATAATTGTTTCCAATTGTTATCAGTGATAGTGGTCTGTTTTCATTAAATTTTCAGATTATCATTGATTGTACATCTATCACTGAAGTCACTACCTTAGTACCACTTTTTCTTATCTGAACAATGTTACCAAATCCCTTAAATGATAGAACAATCTTTGATTGTACGTCTATCACTGAAGTCACTACCTTAGTACCAGTTTCTCTCCTCTGAACAATGTTACCAAATCCCTTAAATGATAGAACAATCTTTGATTGTACATCTAGCACTGAGGTCACTACCTAAGTACCACTTTCTCTTATCTGAACAATGTTACCAAATCACTGAAATGATAGAACAATCTTTGAATGTATATCTAGCACTGAAGTCACTACCTAAGTACCACTTTCTCTTATCTGAACAATGTTACCAAATCACTGAAATGATAGAACAACGTAAAGGCAATGCACATTATAAGAGCAGTGGTATCACAAAAGGCCAGTTTGTAAATACAATATGCGCATGAGCACATAAAGGTCATTTGTCCAAAATTTTAAACCAAGCGATTCGAATACTGGATACGTGCTCATGAAAGATTGAAATGTATGTACTTATTATTCATTAAAGACCGTCAATACTACTTGACCAGAAGGAATTAGACTGCGAGGTCACTAACAGGTGGCTATCTCATTAACTCAGCTTTCAACTAACATAAGAAAAAGAGGATCATGGGGGACCAACAGGCACCGATTGGGGAAATTTTCTATATAAAGGGAGCAAGTAGCTACAAGTAGGACAGTGGAGCTTTAAGAACCGACAGTACATGTTTTTGTACACAGGTGCATAGAGTTGGACTTCTCTATGGACGTGTAAAAGATCTTTGTACATTTTGGGTCACTTTTACTATGTGCTAACTGTTAGCAAGGCATAATATAAAGGAAGTAGGGTAGTCCACATGGCAGGATTAAATGTTCAGTAATCACAAAGTACATGCAGGTTCGGATAATATTGGCCGCCTGTTTGTGTAGTTTATTCCTGACTATGTGCATTCATTTTTTAAAAATATAAATAATGCTATTTTTATTTTTTAGAGCCAAACTGTGCTAAGGTATACCTTTTATACATGTCTATTAAAAAAGCGACGTGCTCTGTACATGCTAAAATATTTTCCCATTATTTCTTAAGCTACATTTAAACACTTTAACGCTTTGTTTCTCATCACATTTGCAAGACATTCCTGTCGGATACTGCAGTGCTTTTAGGGAGCAAATACAAGGGTTTTAACACCCAACACTGTAAAATCGGTAAAAGATAAATAACTAAATAAAAATGAAAGTACCTAAAAGTGTTCTATATGAGACAATATATGTATATGCTTTGGAACAGATGATTATACAAATGAAAACAAAACTACCTAATATTGCTCCCTGCTTTCGGGTCGGGAAACATGGTTAAACAGGTGAAAATGAAAGTACCTATTGTGCTCCCTGAGGGACGCTACTTCTTTAGTGGCAAAGAGCATACAGCACGTAGCTTCTCGTAGCAGCATCCCATGGCAATTCCATCGGAATTCAGAAGGCAGCAGTCTCTCTCTGCGTTATTTCCACTGACCTGACTAGAGAATCCGATGCTAAGTAAACAATGAGAATTGAGAAGACATGTATTTAAAAACTCGTAAGTACAGATTTTGATTTGGGATTATTTCCTACTTTTTCATTAACGTACACTGCAATACACATAAGAGTACTATGATGTTTATTTCTAATTGGTCTATTTTTTATTTTTTATTTCAACAATAATCTGGTCACTAAATTAACTGTTGCGTTAAACAGAGTCATGGCATGGATTAAGGAAAGTCGTCTTGTTCTTAACACTGAAAAAACTTGTGTCATGTTAATAGGCTCTCCTGCTAATCTCAAAAAATTGAATCTTTCACCATTTCATTAAACGGCAATTTGATCAAAAGAGTTCAATTCACCAAATGCTTAGGACTTTTGATAGATGAAGAATTGTAATGGTCTAAACAAATCGAAAACGTAAGTAAACTTACCCAGAAAAACAATAGCATGATAAAGAGAGCAAAGAGTTTTTTGCCTCAAAAATCCTTAAAGTTACTTTATAACAGTCTAGTGTTGCCACGATTAGATTACTGCTCTGTTGTATGGTCGAACCGATTTCATTCTCATACAACTAAGCTGCAAAAAATTCAAAAGAGGGCCGCAAGAATAATATTGAACAAGACATATGACACACCGTCGGCTGATTTGTTCACAAGTCTTAAATGGATGACACTAGACAAGCGGTTTGAGTTAAGTCGCGTTATGATGATATATAAATGCGTTCATAACTTAGCACTTTCTTACCTTCAGGTAGGCTTAATCAATCCTAATGATGTACATGAGCATCGTACAAGGCAAATAGACAGTGGATGTTTACGTGTGCCTAGATTTCACACTGATTGTTATAAGTGTAGCCCAATTGTTTCTTCCATATTTGAATGGAATAAGCTAGATAATTCATTGAGAACGGCTTCCTCTGTCAATTCATTTAAGAGATTGTTTAAACAAAGTTGTAATTTGTGAATGGCTCAGCCGTACATACACTACGTGCATGTTCTGTAATATTTACATGACGTATTCACATAATTGCGACTTAATTAATATTTTCCTATTGACATTACTGTTTACTAGGTTGATGATTATGTTTATTTTGCAAAACGAGTATTATTTTTGTAACTGTTCTGTATAAATGTTATAAACGATGTAAATATGTTCATTCAGGGCCCCATGGAAGACCACTACTTGTTGGCGAATGGGCTACCCTGTCAAAATATCAGAAATAAATAAATAAATAAAAAATAAAATAGTGCTTAGTACGGGAATGACGTGTAGGAAATCAGCCGCAGGAAAATTATTGCTGAGCTTGTGTTATTCAACCCCAGATGCAAGTGCACGTAGGCGTGTCACAAATATTACTACTTCTACTATCAATACTAATACTACTCGTACTACAACTACTACTATTACTATTCGTACTACTACTACTACTACTACACTGTCGCTCATATAGTTGGAATATTTTTGTTTTACCCCAATTTACGGAATTATTCTAAAAATAATTTATTCCTAATAGATTTAGATAATAGTATACATTCTCAGATTTTATTGAATAATTATTTGCCAATGTGTGTTTTGCGTGACTGCTAAAGCATGTGTATGCTACTATGCTTATCAACTAGGGGACCTACGCCCTTAAGTCATAAATGACAAAAATGAGGATTAATGCCCCACAAAAGGGCACTAAAATAGCACATCGACACGGTTTTGATCCTGGGGCCTCACAGTTACGAGGATATTGCTTTGTCACTGAACCATGACTGTACGCAGCGGGGTCTAGGGTAGGGGGCAGTTTCCATTAATGAAAAAACCCAAAGAAAATGCAATACATTTTAAATAATCTATTGCATGTTACCCCGGTCCCCAACATAAACAAATCCTCTGGACGGTCATGCATTATGGCTCAAGGCATGGGCACACAGAGGATTTTGTTATGTTGGGGACCGGGGTAAAATATATAGTATAGCAAAGCGCAAATCAGGCATCGATTGCAACGTCCCTACCTCCTTCACACACACACACACACACACACACACACACACACACACACACACACACACGGACACTCTCGCGTTCATGTACAGGCTCATTGCATGGCATAGGCCTATATAAATTATGGTTGTCTTTTCTGAACTGAATTGCCATTTTGGGTCATTAGCATTTTGACATGATATAATGTAGTACAGAAGTTGTTTATAAATTGTTCATTTTCACAAAGAGGGATTATTATTAAGCAAACATCTCTTTAATCAATTTTTTCATGATACGTTGCTGCCTGAAGCATGTGAAATGCATGCCGATATCTTTCGAATCCATATCCAATTAAATAAAAAACAAAGCTTTACCTTTGTCAATACGTTTCCTTTCTAAATTCCTAATTCAGCATCAACAATATGTTTCTCTGGCCTTGTGACTTTTAAGATGAATTAGAAATTTAAAAAGGAAACCTTTTTTGTTGCACCTGCACGGGGTGGTAATCACCTCGAACGTTCTTGCAGGTAAGGGGGTAGTATTTTCTTGAGGAGAATACAAGGCGGCCTCGTCGCAAGTCCATCGTAAGAAGGACGTGTGAATCGCAGGAGTTGGCCTACAACCCGACCGCAGCTGCGGACCTGCACTTGCAAAAAGACCCGCGGCGAGTTGTGACCGTTTTACATAAATACTCACTCCTTTAGGAATGGTGTTTGGATCTTCTTTTCCTCGACCTGGTCATGACAGCCAATCCAGGAACCTTCGCTCACAAACGTACTGCCTATGCCAAGGAGTCCAAGGAGTTGGCTACGGGTGCTCGCGTCCCGGAATACCAATAAGCTTGCTCCTTCCTTGCGGCATTTCTGTCGGGTACATATTGAGCATCGGTTAAATATTCATCCACTTTTATCAATACTATTAACTTCTATCAACATTACGTACATGCTACAAATATATATATATATATATTAAAAGCTAATAGTTATATTTCTTATTGGCGGTATATTTCTTTGTAATAATGCTTTTTTGTTATGACACCTTGTATTATATATTTTATCAATATTTTTTTCGGGTTGCAAACGTGTAAGAGTTTTTAAATATTTCTTTTCTCAGATATGTATTCTTTTTTAAATGAATGTAAATCTTAATTTTGTTGTTGATTGATGTATATTCCATAATGATTTTAAATTCATCATGAAATGACCAAAAATTTGAGAAACTTGTCTAAACTCTTGGGGCATTGCAACCTCAACTACATTCTCGATGGACAGTCACCTTAGACGTATCTATGTATTTCACGTATTTGCAGGGTTCGTAGCTTATGAACCCTTGGTCATAATCTCTGGAGTTAAAACTAGCAAGGGAAGGCTTTTACCCTACATTCATTAACGCTTATATTATAACGGGAGCTCTTTGTCTGTGCACCTCAAATTTGACTTGAAATTATTCAGGATTTTCTTTTATATTCATGTATAATGCTGAATTTGATACAATTCAACATTTTATAAAGACTTAAAGTGTGGCAAAGGTTCTGTCATTATTTAAGTAAGAACAATTTTATTTTCACAAGAAAAGGCGGCGTGACCATTCTAACATTCCAAAAAGACAGGTTCCTTTGTCAGACCACTCGTTATTTCGAGCGCAATTGTCACGTAAATTTCGAGGATTTTAGATGAAAATGTCTTCAATTATAATTTTCACGATAGACTTTAATGTTTTTTTCACGGATACTTAAAGCTTCAATAGAAATTAAAAACTTTCGTTCGGTACCTAGTTTTGTCTTCTTCTTGATCTTCTACTATATTTACGTGTGGCGCACACAAATTACCTGCTTCGAAGACACGGACACTTTAGCTATTTTATATCATTAATTACTTCAACAGAAACTAAGTCTCGTTCAGATATGGCACTGCAAAGCCGCTGCAGTTTTTGTTAATGATGACGTAAGGTGGAATTCATTTCGTATTTTTGTATCGAATTATATCACAGAGCTCAGTTAACACGCGCAGGACTTGCTTTACTGACTGTATAATAGGGCCCGACAGTGCCTTAACAGGACGTCACATTGCCTTAAAAGGAGGTCACATTGCCTTAAAAGGATGTCACATTGCCTTAAAAGGACGTCACATTGCCTTAAAAGGACGTGACATTGCCTTAAAAGGACGTCACATTGCCTAAAAAGACGTCGCATTACCTTAAAAGGACGTCACATTGCCTTAAAAGGATGTCACACATAGAGGTCCACGTTCTCGTCGCGTAAATCTAAAAGTTCCTATCATCTCACCTTCTCACTGGCTTCCCAGGTATCGGGTGTCTGGAGTAGACGGACACAGGTATCACCGCTTTTTTTCACCAGTTTTCGTTAATGATGACGTAAGGTGGAATTCATTTCGTATTTTTGTATCGAATTATATCACAGAGCTCAGTTAACACGCGCAGGACTTGCTTTACTGACTGTATAATAGGGCCCGACAGTGCCTTAAAAGGACGTCACATTGCCTTAAAAGGACGTCACATTGCCTTAAAAGGATGTCACATTGCCTTAAAAGGACGTGACATTGCCTTAAAAGGACGTCACATTGCCTTAAAAGGACGTCACATTGCCTTAAAAGGACGTGACATTGCCTTAAAAGGACGTCACATTGCCTTAAAAGGACGTCACATTGCCTAAAAAGACGTCGCATTACCTTAAAAGGACGTCACATTGCCTTAAAAGGACGTCACATTGCCTTAAAAGGATGTCACATTGCCTTAAAAGGACGTGACATTGCCTTAAAAGGACGTCACATTGCCTTAAAAGGACGTCACATTGCCTTAAAAGGACGTGACATTGCCTTAAAAGGACGTCACATTGCCTAAAAAGACGTCGCATTACCTTAAAAGGACGTCACATTGCCTTAAAAGGATGTCACACATAGAGGTCCACGTTCTCGTCGCGTAAATCTAAAAGTTCCTATCATCTCACCTTCTCACTGGCTTCCCAGGTATCGGGTGTCTGGAGTAGACGGACACAGGTATCACCGCTCTGTATGTAATGTTGTGGGCATCCTGGGAGGCAGCAAGATAGAGGGAAATATGTTATCATTTATCCAGTATTATATTTTGTGTTTGTTTATTTTGTGTCATCTAATTATGTTCGTTCTTTCCTTATTAATTCATTTAATTCTTTTACATGATTATTCAGAGGGGTGTGTTAATTACTTCAAAACTGATCCACCACAAAGACATGATTAGATAAAAGCTTACATATAAACTATCGAAAGGTCTATGCCTGAATTGAAGAATTCAGAGAAAAATCAGAAAATATTCGAAATGACAGGACAGAATATGATTGTTACATTATTATAAACACAACAGAAATACACAAATGATAATAATGTATGTCAATCAGCATGTTACCACAATATTTTAAGATATGAAGGTCAACATTCTATTTCAAGAGACCTCTAAATCTGAGAATTAAATAAAAGTTAGAGAAAAGAGAAGAACGATGGTAATAATGCAAACGCTACAATCAAACAGATGTTATAAAAGAGATGTTATACGTCACAAATGTGAAAATTTGTAGATTTTTTGGTACAAATAATATGACTGTTGCTAACTATTCTTTTAAGTTCTGAAGTCAAACTCGCTTATTTGCTTACGATTCAGTTCACATACTGCAGGAAGTTTATCGTGGCAACACTCTTTTCCCCATCCGCCAGACCCTATGTTCACACATCGATCACTGTCTGAAGATCTGCCAGGAAGTTTAGAGAAAGTCGACCTGGAATAGAAGAAGAAAAAAAATCATTCAGCTTAGCTACGTCAGGTCACATCAGGCCATGTTAATTCATTCAGTTCAGCCTCAGTTCAGTCAGTTCAGCCTCAGTTCAGTCAGTTCAGCCTCAGTTCAGTCAGTCCAACCTCAGTTCAGTCAGTTCAGTTGAGGTCAGTATAGGCTCATTTGAGGTACATGTATATTTAAAAGGTTAAGGTCAGTTCAGGGCAGTGCAGGTCAGTTTAAATTTAGTAGGTTGAGGTCAATTGAGGTCACTTTTGTTCACATAAATTCAGTCATTCCCGGTCAGTTCAGTACAGTCATAATTTCTTTTCACTTTTATTCAGTTCTGTACAGCAAACATAAAATGTGCATGAAAGTTTTGAGTACAGACTTACTTACAAGATTTTTATTACAAGGTTATACGATGTAATGTATATAAAGAGCATAAGTTCCTAAGTGGGAAGACCTGATAAAGGCTACGCTTGTACTTTGATCCTCAGAATACCCCCACATACAAGTAAGGTTGATCGTAGACCTAAGCCTAAGGTCAAACAACCCTAAATCCACGCCAAGGGCTTAAACGTGATCCCACCTCTGATCCCAACCCCAAAGGTTGATCGTAGACCTAAGCCTAAGGTCAAACAACCCTTAATCCACGCCAAGGGCTTAAACGTGATCCCTCCTCTGATCCCAACCCCAAAGGTTGATCGTAGACCTAAGCCTAAGGTCAAACAACCCTTAATCCACGCCAAGGGCTTAAACGTGATCCCACCCCTGATCCCAACCCCAAAGGTTGATCGTAGACCTAAGCCTAAGGTCAAACAACCCTTAATCCACGCCAAGGGCTTAAACGTGATCCCACCCCTGATCCCAACCCCAAAGGTTGATCGTAGACCTAAGCCTAAGGTCAAACAACCCTTAATCCACGCCAAGGGCTTAAACGTGATCCCACCTCTGATCCCAACCCCAAAGGTTGATCGTAGACCTAAGCCTAAGGTCAAAAAACCCTTAATCCACGCCAAGGGCTTAAACGTGATCCTACCCCTGATCCCAACCCCAAACCTCACCCCAGGCATTTTCTTTATTATGTCACTTACCATGCCCCCTATTCCTTTAACTCTGAACCTAATGCGCTCGAATGGTTAAAGGGAAACAAAAACCTTCATACTAAGTTACTTTTATTGTTAAGTTCAAGATATTTGAATAAAATCAGTGAAAATTTGAACAAAATCGGGCAAGGAATAAGGAAGTTAAAGCTTTTTTAAATGACTGGTCACTAGAAGGCGATATTCAATTTTATGACATCATCTGTGGACAACTCTCCATGCCTTTTGTACATCCAATTTCATGTTTTTCCTTCTTTCTTATGATAATCTATTCCCTGAAAGCAAGGTATAGAATGCAAAATGATATTCTACTTCACATGTTATGAAGTCGGATCAAGAACACAAATAAATACGAAGAAAACGAAAGAATTGTGAAATTTGATGTACAGAGCTTTTGAAATTTACAGGATTTCTTGCAGATACGCTGATAAACTAACATGAAAGTAATATTTAAGTAACAATTCAATGCAAATAAGTAGCGCAAAGATTTAACATCAGTACATGGTGTGGTGAATTTTTAATTTGCCCTTTTTATAAGATAAGAAGCATTTATAGGTCTCTTGTAAACTCACAAGAAATTTGTACTGGAAGAACACATAAAATGCTTAAACTGGTTACATAATTGAGAGCAATATTACATGAAGGAAAACAATACACAAAGAAGAACAACTAATAATTTACTGTATAACCCAAATTTTCTTTGAGTTGCAATGACATTTTAACAGAGAGAAGGAATGGCATTTAAATTATCTCATTCATATCTTGTTATTCTTATGATAATGATAATTATTATTATTATTATTATTATTATTAACATCATTATCATCAAAAACATCATTATTATTTATTTGTATTACTATTATTATCATCATCATCATTATTATTAATATTATTATTATCCTTTTTATTATCATCATTATTATTATTATTATCATTATTATCATTGTTATCACTATTGTTAAATTATCATTAATATTAATACTAATAACATTACCATTACTTCCATTATTATTATTATCATAACTATTATTGTTATTGTTATTATCATTATTATTGTCATTATCATCTTCATTAGTTTAAATCTTTTATTGTTATCATCACTATAATTCCATTCATTATCATTACTATGATTGTTATTGTTATTATCATTATTATTATTATAATTATCTTATTATTATATTCATCAAATGAGATGGAATCAAATCGAATCATATCAAACTTACGTGAGAAGTTCAGTGGTTTGATAGTTACTACTCGAGATGAGATTGTGTAGGTTAAACCATGCTGGCTTGCCGTTGGCTGGCGATTCAGATTTGTAGAATGCAAGCAGAGCTTCATTTTGTGCTTCGTTCAGAGATGGGGCTAGGCGACCTTTGAGCCTTCTGCATTCCTTCAAATTTAGTGGAAAATGCGTGGTTATTATTATTTATTAACCCTGCAACTACTGCAACTACTACTACTACTACTACTACTACTACTACTACTGCAACTACTACTACTACTACTACTACTACTACTACTACTACTACTACTGCAACTACTGCTACTACTACTGCAACTTATACTACTACTGCAACTACTGCTACTACTACTGCAACTAATACTACTACTGCAACTACTGCTACTACTACTGCAACTACTACTACTACTACTACTACTACTACTACTACTACTGTAACTACTACTACTACTACTACTACCACTACTACTACTACTACTACTACTACTGCAACTAATACTACTACCACTACTACTTCTACTACTACTACTACTACTGCAACTACTACTACTACTACTACTACTACTACTACTACTACTACTACTACTACTGCAACTACTACTACTACTACTACTACTACTACTACTACTACTACTACCGCTACTACTACTACTACTACTACTACTACTACTACTACTACTACTACTACTGCAACTACTACTACCACTACTACTACTACTAATACCACTATTTAAAGGTATTAAAAGGTACTCTTGAACTATACCTCCTCCTCGTTTTAATGATTTGTGGATACTTGAAATTAGTTTAACAAGTGCTGCCTCTGAAGTGGTCCTATGTAAACCTTCATTTGTCCACATTATGGTCTTGTCACAAGAGAAACCATGATTCTAGATTATCGCTGTCAGTAAGATGTCCTTCAAATATGCCTTTCCAGTGGACATGCACAGAGCCATCAAAATGCCTTTACCTAATTTGCCGAACCTTCATCTAGCTGGCTATCATATGGCGAATACTACTACCAAATAAAAGAATAATTTTGATGCACCATGTTATGACTATTAAACCGAAACCAAGTTGGCCAGACTCTGTATATAGATCGCTGTGGTCATGTGCAAACATTTTATTGTTGAGTGAATATTAGAGGTCAAAGGTCAAACTTACATGGCATTGGGCTTCAAAGGAATCCGGATTGGTTATAAACCTCAGGCAACGATCTTGGAAGAAGATGTACCCGCTAACATCACCGCACTCTTATGTCACAAACAAGAGAACAAACAAAGAAATTCAGCATGAATTTACAATTGACAACTTTCTAATGTCATTGCATTTTGCCCCGATCCCCTACATTATGTGGGCATGCCTTGAACCATAATGCATGGGCTTTCTCTAGCTGTTGGGGACCGGGGGAAAGTGCAATGAATTATTGATCATTTATTGCATTTTCTTTGTTTTTTGTATTTGTGGGGGGCGGCGACGTACAGTGAGTGAGCTGAATGAGAAATGACGCTACAAACCTTCAAATACTCTAGATGCAGATATGGGAGGGAGGATATTGACTGAGCTGAATGGGAAATGACGCTACAAACCTTCACATACTCTAGATGCAGATATGGGAGGGAGGAAAGTGACTAAGCTGAATGACACTACAAACCTTCAAATACTCTAGATGCAGATATGGGAGGGAGGAAAGTGACTAAGCTGAATGACGCTACAAACCTTCACATACTCTAGATGCAGATATGGGAGGGAGGAAAGTGACTAAGCTGAATGACGCTACAAACCTTCACATACTCTAGATGCAGATATGGGAGGGAGGAAAGTGACTAAGCTGAATGACGCTACAAACCTTCACATACTCTAGATGCAGATATGGGAGGGAGGAAACATTAAATAGTACGCACTTTGCCCGCTATTCGGGCACAAATCATCAAAATTATCAATTTTAACTTTTCTCCCATAGCTCTTTCCATCTTTTGCATGTCGGCGCCCTATGTCACCCCAACCCCTCTGTCACCCCCTATGTCATCCCCACCCCCCTGTCACCCCACCCCCTATGTAGATACACAATTGAGAACATCCATACCGGGATCGCCGATGGGCCCAGTTTCACAAATAGCAGGATGGCGGGTGTAACAACATTCGTTGGTCCATTTGCCGTTCTGCGCACTTACAGACACACAATCGGGTCCTTGTCCTTTGCCACTTGCTCGTTCTGGCCTCTTGTTCTTAAAGTAAGTGAAGGAAAGCCTGGACAACAAAAATAATACAATGATTACAGAACTCTCTGTAAAAGAAGTTTTTTTTTTTAAACTACCCTGTATGAAGAACAAAAACTAAATAAATAAGTAAATAAATCGATGAACATTTTGTTTAATGAATGCATAAAAAAGTTGTCTGAATAGCTGAATAAATTTAAACATGAATTAGAATACATTTTTTTTTTTTAAATACCTCTCTACAGTATTTTGAATAAAATTAGTCATCTAATTGGTCAAAATTGGAGTCATGATTTTAGTCAGGCTCACAAAGAAACGAACCATGCCCGTTGCCCTGGCGAAAGGGGATAGTCAATTAAAAATATGCCCGTTGCCCCGGGTATAGTTAAATTTGCTGAGATCCCCATTGGTTTACGTGAAAAAAGTTTCTTTATGCGAGCGCGGATACCATACAGTGTGTGTACGATTCCCAAATGATCTTAAAATTCAGGCAACTTTCCATCGAAGATTAACATACAGTGTCTCAGATTATTTGTGATGTTTGAACCAATCTTTACTTAAGAAGAGGATAATAAGGCAAGTATATTTTGTAGACTATATTGTGAATTTGGTATATAAAAGTTAAATAGACTACTGACTCTCGGGGCGTTACATCCTGCTAAGAACCCTTGGCGCACCGAGGGGTGATTGGGGTGGACATTGGGGTGGTGGACATTAATGCACCAAATGTGGTTCTCAAATGAAGTGCCTGAAAATGCGCCTAATGTGGTTCTAAAATTGCAAATGCTTCCTACTCAGGGAGGGGGTTCTGAACGTATCATTTTAAAGAGTAACTAATATAATAATAATAATAATATTTTAAAGTCCACTCCAAATTGTAATTGAATTAAAGCGAAAATGAAAATTCTTTTTGCCAAATTGATCGTGAGCCCGGCAGCCACTGAGCAGCGCCAGATCGACGTTGCTCTATCCCCTATTGTTGAACGCCAAACAAGGTAGCAGCAACTCCCGTCTTTTAACGTCTTTTGGTGTGACGCGGCCGGGGTTCGAACCCACGACGTCCCGGTTGTGAGGCGGACGCTCTACTGACTGAGCCAACACCCCGTCTAATGATACCTTATTCATACCTCTGCGGTCCAAGATGACAATACATTTTTTCTTCTTCAAACATTATTTCACCAAGTTATGTCCGTCCAGTAAGAATTGCTGATTTATGTATATTAACTTTTGTCCATTTTCAATAGAAAAGGTGTCAATGTCAACTCAGACTGAAGATTGGTAATGATATTCCGGTCAATCGAATCACAACATTTGATTTCGACGATATGTCTGGGGACAAAGCCACTGGCGATGACCTCATTTCTTGTCGCCTTCTAAAAATGACGAAATAGGTGATTGCAGAATCGTTGACCGATATCACAAACAAACCTTTGACCACGAGACGTGTACCCAAATGGCTGGAAAGCAGCTCGAGTAATTCTAATTTTTAAAAGCTGGTGATATGTCTGATCAAAGCAATTACCGCCCAATTTATATTTTGTCTGTTGTTAGCAAAATCATAGAGAGGGCTGTACATCACCAACTTTATGAGTTCATTAACGATAATATTATCTTGAATTAATCAATCTGGGTTTCGAGCGAAGTATTCTACAACAGCACTCAGGAAGTTATTTATCTTGGAACATTGAAAACATAAAGATCTCTGATGTCGCTTTTATCGACCTTCGTAAGGCATTTGACACCGTTGATCACAATCTTGTATGAACAAAATTAACTACTATTGGATGTTCTCATGAATGTGTGAAATGGTTTAGATCCTATTTAACACGCCATAAACAGACTGTTCATTTTAATAGTGCTAAATCTAATCAATTAACAGTATTGATGGGCGTATACCACGGGGATCTATATTGGGTCCTTTATTATTTTTCAATCTATGTGAATACTTTACCAAGTTTTATATATGGTGGTAATGGGGATATGTATGCAGACGATTCCACTTTAACCGTAAATGGAAGCAGTGTAGCTTTGCACTGCAAGCATTATTGGTTTGGGATAATCAACTAAACACAAACAAAACATGGTCATGGTGATAGCTCCGCGTGCAAATTTAAACAAAATAACAACCTTCAACGTTTCTATAAATCGAAAGGTACTGATAAGAGTTAGCGTCGTCAACTTTCTTGGTACAATAATTGGTGAAGAATTGAATTGGCCCAAACACGTTGACAAAGTAACAAAAGTAATGCACAGAAACACCATCCTTTCAAAACGAGCTATTAAGGACTGTTTACCAATAACTTCTTTAAAGTTGTTGTATAATGCACTCGTATCGCCTAACTTTGCTTATTGTTACTATGTGTTGTCAAATAGGTATCGGGAACAAACGGATAAACTCAAGAAAGTTCAAAATCGATCTGCTATGATAATTTCAAACAGAAGTTACGAGACTCCATCAAGTGAATTGATTAGCAATCTAAAATGAATGCCAATTGAGAAACGTCTTTAATTTCAGCGTGAAAATATGATGTACATGCAAACATAATTTGGCGCCATCCTATTTACAAGAAAGGTTTATTAAAGTAAGTGACATTCATCGGTATAATACGGGGCACGCAGTTAAAGGTTTTCTTTCTGTGCCAAAGTAGACAACAGAATGTTTTTTAAACATAGCCCCCTCGTTTCTTCAATTATAGCATGGAATCAGTTGGACAGATCATTGAAAATTGCAAGCCTTTAATACATGTCTAAACAGTCTTGCAATATCGATTCCCTTTAAGATAAAATGACAAAAGGAATTTTGTTTAGTGTCTTAACACAAGTTTTACTTTGATTCCTTTTTTTTATTTTTTTATTTTTTTTAGCTTTCTAGCACATTTCTCTTGTAAAAATCAAACGATTGGTTAATGATGCGCTTGCAGAACAACATGATAAAATTTGGTTTTCATATACATCCTCATTGCTAGGAAAATGTCACTTGATGCTTTTTATCAAAATTAAAAAAAGTTAATTGAGATGCTAGCTGTATCTCTTTTTAATGGAAATCCTCTGTCATTATATTTGGTAGGTATAAACATGTGTTCTTTCTTGCATTTCCTAAATCAATGAGGGTGGTCAACCTCAATCTCATTATGCGTATGAAATGGTGCAACAGAGACCTTATATATCATGAGACAATAAGTTGGTGGGCTAAAGATAATTTAAGGTTATCCTGTTGACTTATACAAGACAAGAAGTTGGTGGGCTAAAGATAATTTAAGGTTATCCTGCTGACTTATACAAGACAAGAAGTTGGTGGGCTAAAGATAATTTAAGGTTATCCTGTTGACTTATACAAGACAAGAAGTTGGTGGACTAAAGATAATTTAAGGTTATCCTGCTGACTTATACAAGACAAGAATTTGGTGGGCTAAAGATAATTTAAGGTTATCCTGCTGACTTATACAAGACAAGAAGTTGGTGGGCTAAAGATAATTTAAGGTTATCCTGTTGACTTATACAAGACAAGAAGTTGGTGGGCTAAAGATAATTTAAGGTTATCCTGCTGACTTATACAAGACAAGAAGTTGGTGGGCTAACGATAATTTAAGGTTATCCTGTTGACTTATACAAGACAAGAAGTTGGTGGGCTAAAGATAATTTAAGGTTATCCTGTTGACTTATACAAGACAAGAAGTTGGTGGGCTAAAGATAATTTAAGGTTATCCTGCTGACTTATACAAGACAAGAAGTTGGATGGCTAAAGATAATTTAAGGTTATCCTGCTGACTTATACAAGACAAGAAGTTGGTGGGCTAAAGATAATTTAAGGTTATCCTGTTGACTTATACAAGACAAGAAGTTGGTGGGCTAAAGATAATTTAAGGTTATCCTGCTGACTTATACAAGACAAGAAGTTGGTGGGCTAACGATAATTTAAGGTTATCCTGTTGACTTATACAAGACAAGAAGTTGGTGGGCTAAAGATAATTTAAGGTTATCCTGTTGACTTATACAAGACAAGAAGTTGGTGGGCTAAAGATAATTTAAGGTTATCCTGCTGACTTATACAAGACAAGAAGTTGGATGGCTAAAGATAATTTAAGGTTATCCTGTTGACTTATACAAGACAAGAAGTTGGTGGGCTAAAGATAATTTAAGGTTATCCTGTTGACTTATACAAGACGATTAGTTGGTGGGCTAAAGATAATTTAAGGTTATCCTGTTGACTTATACATAACAATTAGTTGGTGGGCTAAAGATAATTTAAGGTTATCCTGTTGACTTATACAAGACAATTAGTTGGTGGGCTAAAGATAATTTAATGTTATCCTGTTGACTTATACATAACAATTAGTTGGTGGGCTAAAGATAATTTAAGGTTATCCTGCTGACTTATACAAGACAAGAAGTTGGTGGGCTAAAGATAATTTAAGGTTATCCTGTTGACTTATACAAGACAAGAAGTTGGTGGGCTAAAGATAATTTAAGGTTATCCTGCTGACTTATACAAGACAATTAGTTGGTGGGCTAAAGATAATTTAAGGTTATCCTGTTGACTTATACATAACAATTAGTTGGTGGGCTAAAGATAATTTAAGGTTACCCTGTTGACTTATACAAGACAATTAGTTGGTGGGCTAAAGATAATTTAAGGTTATCCTGTTGACTTATACATAACAATTAGTTGGTGGGCTAAAGATAATTTAAGGTTATCCTGCTGACTTATACAAGACAAGAAGTTGGTGGGCTAAAGATAATTTAAGGTTATCCTGTTGACTTATACAAGACAAGAAGTTGGTGGGCTAAAGATAATTTAAGGTTATCATGTTGAGTTATACAAGACAAGAAGTTAGTGGGCTACAAGACAAGAAGTTGGTGGGCTAAACATAATTTAAGGTTATAACAAGGTCCTGTGAAAGCTTAGATACACATGATTCGCTTAAGCATGAATCTGAATTCAACATTTAAAATGATTTAAGAACAAAGTAACACGTGTATAATAATCCTTGACCCATTACAATCAGTGCATCATCCTGCACAAGGGCAATTAGACGGCACTGTTTAAAAACCAGTTTGCTCAGTCACCCGTTGCGAAAAATTATGAATAGGGTAACGTTAGATAGAATACAAGTTACACTGTACATGTTTTACAAACCTGTTTAACTCAAAGTCAGTAAAGACATTGCTGACAACAAGAGATTGGGGTCCAATCCACACGTCGTTTCTGAGGTTCTCTGTGTGATATCTTTGTAGAACTTCGGCTTTGTCTTCGGAGCGAGGTATTGCAAGTTGTCCCTTCTTGGCCTTGCATTTCTAGAAGGTAATGTTTGAATCTGATATTATTACCAAAAACTATATGTGGATAAAAGGGTTAAGCTTATAAAGCGTTTGGGGAGCTGCGAATTATATGTTTACTAGAAGAATGCTGAGGATGCCGTTGACAGATAGAGTGAGTAATGAGCAGAAGAGAGAGATGATATGTAAGAGATGGATTCAGCAAATGAGATTAATGGGATATCCGATACGAAAAGGAGGTTTGGGGAATGCTCAATTTCAATCTCAAATTTTGCCCTGAGCCAATCAAATGCCACGATTTCAGTAGCTACTAAGAGTTATTGATGACAACTTTTATTAAAACAGGGCCCTCACATTGATATCAAGGATGGGGGAAGAGGCGGGTAGTGGAAGGAGTGTAAGTGTAGTCAGCAAAGATGGGGCAATTAGGATCGAGAGAGGAATGAAAGGCCAGGGAATGAAGCTGTTGGCAATGCAAGAAACAAGGAGTTATAACGCAAATAGGTAAAGAGAGATATATCTATATATATATATAGAGAGAGAGATAGACCAATAACTTACAGCGCTCATATATACAACAATTTTAACTCACTAACGGAATTTCTTGCATTTCTAGCTTATGTATGAAATAAATTTGTTCAAAAAGAAAGACATTACCAACAAATAAACAATGAAATAACAACATGCAAACAAACAAAAATAAAATAACTTTTTATCAACAACAACAAAATAAATTAACTTTTTATTAACAATAACAATCAGTCAGAGTATCTTAGTATGACGGAATCACCTCACACACTGAATTGCTTACGCTATTACTATGTTTAATATACAGACAACTAAAAATAAGAGAGCGTTTTTGTATGAATCAATAAAGGTTATTGACTAGATTTCATAAATGTCGAGAAAAGAGCTATGTTTAAACAAGTTCAGATTGTTTCGAATTTACGATTACTCAATCATAGGCTCATTCACATACCACTGAACATTCAACAACCTTTGTGCACGGTAAATTCGATACAAGAATTAGTTGAGCCTCGTACAGACATGACGCGGCAAAACCACGGCGGTTTTGTATGATTACATAACGTGTAATACGTTTCACATTTAGTTTCTGTATCTTATATCACATCAGAGCTCAGTGAATACACGCGGGACCTTTGTTGTGCGCAATTGCCATACATGTACAGAAACCGCGTCATTTTGTAACAAGCCTTTAAGCTGCCCATCACTCTTCCTTTAAGCCCCTTCCACACCGGGCCATGCGTAGAGTTGCGAAGTGTTGCGTACCGACTACGCCGAGCGTACGCTGCCCTACGTGGCCTACGTAACTAAACGCGGCTGGACGCAAAGGGGAACGCGAGATGGACGCACACAATTAAACATGTAAGCAAGAACCTCAGTAAGCGACTTCGTTGAAATAAAACATTGCACGGGACAGTTTGCATCATTCGGGTCGTAATTTGATGCTATTGATATCCATGGCCCTGTCCTATAACAGAGATGCGATTGATTACAAGTGACTTTCAATTCATATCGATCGCAAATCTTTAGTACACACGGTTGACATCAATTTATTGTAATGTATCGCTAATTCTCTTTCGAAGCAGGACCCAGAGCATTCAATTAATATATGCATGTTTATTCAATTTTCATATAACAATTTCTTCGTGTACAGAGCATCATTATTTCTTCTACTTTTGTGTATTTTCTTGAACTCCAAGCGGAAATCTAGCCTTTCTTAAAGTGCATGTTCATAATACATATATTTATATAACACCAAAGACAAGGAAGAAGAAAAGTTTTATCATACAGTTTTCATGTTCCCCTTTCCCGCGTGGTGTGTAAATGAAATATTAAACCAAGCCTCCCCTTTCCCGCGTGGTCTGTAAACGAAATATTAAACCAAGCCTCCCCTTTCCCGCATCGTGTGTAAACGAAACATTAAACCAAGCCTCCCCTTTCCCGCATCGTGTGTAAACGAAACATTAAACCAAGCCTCCCCTTTCCCGCATCGTGTGTAAACGAAACATTAAACCAAGCCTCCCCTTTCCCGCACGTGTGTAAACGAAACATTAAACCAAGCCTCCCCTTTCCCGCATCGTGTGTAAACGAAACATTAAACCAAGCTTCCCCTTTCCCGCACGTGTGTAAACGAAATATTAAACCAAGCCTCCCCTTTCCCGCATCGTGTGTAAACGAAAAAAAAAATTTGGATTTTATTTCATTTCTGCATTTTTTCCACATAAAATATAACTGAATAACAAAGAACATATAAATGTAAGGTATAATACAACATAAATAAACAATAATTTCTTCATGTCAAAATGTTTTTTTTACATAATATATGTACACATAATAACGAAACCTAATATTTCCATAACATATAATCATAAATTTAAAGTATTAACCGAACTATTCTGTTGGAAAAGTGCAGGAGACCGCAATCATAAGCAAAGCTTGACAAGGATGGCGGCCTAAAAAAAAAAAAACAACAAAAAAATATTAAGGTAAACCTTAAAATGAAAAAGTGTTTAAACGACCTTTGTGTATGAGTTGGTGAGGGTGTTGTGCAAATGTATATGTATATATATATATATATGTATTGTGTGTGTGTGTGTACGCGTGTGCGTGCGTGTGTGTGTGTGTGTGCATGTGTACGCGAGCGTGCGTGGTTGTATGTGTTTGTAACGAATATATGAAAGTGCACGTAGCTCTGTGTGGTATAGAGGAGTGGAAACCATTAAACCAAGCCTCCCCTTACCCGCATCGTGTGTAAACGAAACATTAAAGGGATTGTTTAACAATGTTAAATCTGAGATACACGGTCCTACATGTTACCAGTGTCTGTGATATGGTGTAATATTGAAGCCCTAAAAAAATCGCGCTTCAAAATGATCAAGAAGTGCAAAAAAAAGTAAAAATCTTTGAGTGACAGGTTTTACCATACTCGTTTTCCCCAATAGACTAGTGTTATGAAAACCGTTCGGCGAACGGTTTTCGAAATTTGTAATTCCAATCATTAATATATTGATAATCAGACAGGCGATCGGCTTGCAAAAGTCATGGAGTACCTGACTGACCTAAAGGTTTATAATTATCATTGCAGCATGAGCTAAATCAAGGATTATTTCTAAAGGATCTAAGACAAAGTTACCGGATCCCTTTAAACCAAGCCTCCCCTTTCCCGCGTTGGTGTAAACGACTTACCCGTGCCTGTACTTCCCATATGTCGGCCTTGCTTATTATGAGGAAGCAATATTTCCCTTCAAAAAGTTCAAAGCCTCTTGGACATCTGAGGGGAGTTCCTTGGGTTGAACTTCTTTCCGCTATAGGGATGCGCAATAGAAAATAAAATGAAAAGAATATGACTCGTCAATTCTCTCCCCATATTTATAATATCACCAAAGTCAACGAAGGTCCGCGTATTACAACAGTTAGACTTTCTGTAGATAAGTACAAATATTTGGTTTTAAAGGTAGTTTAAGTCCAACTCCTGCGCTTCCTATTACACTGTAGCTAAGGAGCAACTATGAAATATTAGGCTGAATTCTCAGGGATCTGCCCGAATACAGGAATATAAATTGTGTACCATGAAAACACAGAGTAACACAACGAAAGACGGAAAACAAAAACGATAAGAACGCAGAGTAGCATAGCGAAAGACAGAAAGTGAAAAATGGTAAAAGTATATTAACATAGAGTAACATAACGAATGTTAGAAAGGGAAAATGATAGAACGGTATATATAAGGAATATATCAGGGAAGGAAAAAAAGAGAGGATATCAACACAAAGTAACAGAACAAAAGACAGAAAGTAAAAATGATATCAACACAGGGTGGCTTAGCGAAAGACAGAAAGTAAACAAGATAAAAGGATATCAACACAGAGCAACATAGCGAAAGACAGAACGCAAAAATGATAAAAGGATACCAACACAGAGTAACAAAATAAAGAAGTAGAAAGAGACAATGATAGCACGTTATAAATAAAGAATATATCAGGGAAGGAAAAAAGAGAGGATATCAACACAGAGTAACACAACGAAAGACAGAAAGCAAAAACGATAACAACACAGAGTAACATAGCAAAAGACAGAAAGTGAACAAGATAAAAGGATATCAACACAGAGTAGCATAGCGAAAAACAGAAAGCGAAAGTGATAAAAGGATAACAATACAGAACAACTTAACGAAATACAGGAAGAATAATGATAAAAGGGTAACGAAACAGAATAACATAAGGAAAGGTAGAAATCCGAACTTTTGAATTGATAAATACACAGAGTAACATAAAGAAAGGTGGAATTACAAAATAATAACAAGATACCCACAGAGAATAACATATGTGAATGGGACCTTGGCTTTTAACACAATACATACCTTCGCAAGTGGGTGGATCTTTAGACCACTTTCCAGTGGGTGCGTTACCGCTTAGTTCACAGACGGTATTTAGTTCTTCAGAGGTGGCGGTGAAGCCGGGTTTGCAGGAATAGGTATAATCCTGGTTAAGGTTCCTTCGTCCACCAGACACTGGTATTGTATTAGTACCTGCTCCAGGCTTAGCACAAATGATCTCTGTATTGGTTAAAGAATAATGTGGAGGGCTCATGTAGTTCAGCAGTTCAATGAAGATACACAATAGAAATTAAAATTAAAAGAATATGCCTCATCAATTCTTTCCTCAAATTTATCATCTCACCAAACTGAACGAATGCCCGCGTATTTCAACAGTTAGACTATCTGAGGATAAGTACAAACATGTGGCTGTTAAAGGTAGTTTAAGTCCAATTCCTGCGCTTCCCATTACACTGTAGCTGAGGAACAACTATGAATTATTAGGCTGGAATCTCAGGGATCTGCCTAAACACATGAATAATTGTGCAGCGTAAAGACGGGTTGAAATTATGCTACATTTGCAGGTCCTTCCACGCAAAGGAATGAATCTACAAAAGAGGATTGAGACAACGTTCATTTTATTTCTCTACGTCACTAAAGGATTCATTTGTGAACCATGACGATATAGCCGAAATACAAAATTTCAATTCGAAATGAATACAAATGGGGAAAATAGAATCACTGTCTTTCCCGTCGGACGGACCTCCCGAATAGCATAGAGTAACTAGCGAAAGACAGAAAGTGAAAAATTATGAAAGTATATCAACACAGAGTAACATAACTAAAGTTAGAAAGGGAAAATGATAGCATGTTATATATAAAGAATATATCAGGAAGGAAAAAAAGAGAGAATATCAACATAGAATAACACAACGAAAGACAGAAAGCAAAAAGGATAACAACACAGAGTAACATAGCAAAAGACAGAAAGCGAATGTAATAAAAGGATAACAATACAGAACAACTTAACGAAATACAGGAAGAATAATGATAAAAGGGTAACGAAACAGAATAACATAAGGAAAAGTAGAAATCCAAACTTTTGAATTGATAAATACACAGAGTAACATAAAGAAAGGTGGAATTACAAAATAATAACAAGATACCCACAGAGAATAACATATGTGAATGGGACCTTGGCTTTTAACACAATACATACCTTCGCAAGTGGGTGGCTCTTTAGTCCACTTTCCAGTGGGTGCGTTACCGCTTAGTTCACAGACGGTATTTAGTTCTTCAGAGGTGGCGGTGAAGCCGGGTTTGCAGGAATAGGTATAATCCTGGTTAAGGTTCCTTCGTCCACCAGACACTGGTCTTGTATTAGTACCTGCTCCAGGCTTAGCACAAGTGATCTCTGTATTGGTTAAAGAATAATGTGGAGGGCTCATGTAGTTCAGCAGTTCAATGAAGATACACAATAGAAATTAAAATTAAAAGAATATGCCTCATCAATTCTTTCCTCAAATTTATCATCTCACCAAACTGAACGAATGCCCGCGTATTTCAACAGTTAGACTATCTGAGGATAAGTACAAACATGTGGCTGTTAAAGGTAGTTTAAGTCTAATTCCTGCGCTTCCCATTACACTGTAGCTGAGGAACAACTATGAATTATTAGGCTGGAATCTCAGGGATCTGCCTAAACACATGAATAATTGTGCAGCGTAAAGACGGGTTGAAATTATGCTACATTTGCAGGTCCTTCCACGCAAAGGAATGAATCTACAAAAGAGGATTGAGACAACGTTCATTTTATTTCTCTACGTCACTAAAGGATTCATTTGTGAACCATGACGATATAGCCGAAATACAAAATTTCAATTCGAAATGAATACAAATGGGGAAAATAGAATCACTGTCTTTCCCGTTGGACGGACCTCCCGAATAGCATAGAGTAACTAGCGAAAGACAGAAAGTGAAAAATTATGAAAGTATATCAACACAGAGTAACATAACTAAAGTTAGAAAGGGAAAATGATAGCATGTTATATATAAAGAATATATCAGGAAGGAAAAAAAGAGAGAATATCAACATAGAATAACACAACGAAAGACAGAAAGCAAAAAGGATAACAACACAGAGTAACATAGCAAAAGACAGAAAGCGAATGTAATAAAAGGATAACAATACAGAACAACTTAACGAAATACAGGAAGAATAATGATAAAAGGGTAACGAAACAGAATAACATAAGGAAAAGTAGAAATCCAAACTTTTGAATTGATAAATACACAGAGTAACATAAAGAAAGGTGGAATTACAAAATAATAACAAGATACCCACAGAGAATAACATATGTGAATGGGACCTTGGCTTTTAACACAATACATACCTTCGCAAGTGGGTGGCTCTTTAGTCCACTTTCCAGTGGGTGCGTTACCGCTTAGTTCACAGACGGTATTTAGTTCTTCAGAGGTGGCGGTGAAGCCGGGTTTGCAGGAATAGGTATAATCCTGGTTAAGGTTCCTTCGTCCACCAGACACTGGTCTTGTATTAGTACCTGCTCCAGGCTTAGCACAAGTGATCTCTGTATTGGTTAAAGAATAATGTGGAGGGCTCATGTAGTTCAGCAGTTCAATGAAGATACACAATAGAAATTAAAATTAAAAGAATATGCCTCATCAATTCTTTCCTCAAATTTATCATCTCACCAAACTGAACGAATGCCCGCGTATTTCAACAGTTAGACTATCTGAGGATAAGTACAAACATGTGGCTGTTAAAGGTAGTTTAAGTCTAATTCCTGCGCTTCCCATTACACTGTAGCTGAGGAACAACTATGAATTATTAGGCTGGAATCTCAGGGATCTGCCTAAACACATGAATAATTGTGCAGCGTAAAGACGGGTTGAAATTATGCTACATTTGCAGGTCCTTCCACGCAAAGGAATGAATCTACAAAAGAGGATTGAGACAACGTTCATTTTATTTCTCTACGTCACTAAAGGATTCATTTGTGAACCATGACCATATAGCCGAAATACAAAATTTCAATTCGAAATGAATACAAATGGGGAAAATAGAATCACTGTCTTTCCCGTTGGACGGACCTCCCGAATAGCATAGAGTAACTAGCGAAAGACAGAAAGTGAAAAATTATGAAAGTATATCAACACAGAGTAACATAACTAAAGTTAGAAAGGGAAAATGATAGCATGTTATATATAAAGAATATATCAGGGAAGGAAAAAAAGAGAGGATATCAACATAGAATAACACAACGAAAGACAGAAAGCAAAAAGGATAACAACACAGAGTAACATAGCAAAAGACAGAAAGCGAATGTGATAAAAGGATAACAATACAGAACAACTTAACGAAATACAGGAAGAATAATGATAAAAGGGTAACGAAACAGAATAACATAAGGAAAAGTAGAAATCCAAACTTTTGAATTGATAAATACACAGAGTAACATAAAGAAAGGTGGAATTACAAAATAATAACAAGATACCCACAGAGAATAACATATGTGAATGGGACCTTGGCTTTTAACACAATACATACCTTCGCAAGTGGGTGGCTCTTTAGTCCACTTTCCAGTGGGTGCGTTACCGCTTAGTTCACAGACGGTATTTAGTTCTTCAGAGGTGGCGGTGAAGCCGGGTTTGCAGGAATAGGTATAATCCTGGTTAAGGTTCCTTCGTCCACCAGACACTGGTCTTGTATTAGTACCTGCTCCAGGCTTAGCACAAGTGATCTCTGTATTGGTTAAAGAATAATGTGGAGGGCTCATGTAGTTCAGCAGTTCAATGAAGATACACAATAGAAATTAAAATTAAAAGAATATGCCTCATCAATTCTTTCCTCAAATTTATCATCTCACCAAACTGAACGAATGCCCGCGTATTTCAACAGTTAGACTATCTGAGGATAAGTACAAACATGTGGCTGTTAAAGGTAGTTTAAGTCTAATTCCTGCGCTTCCCATTACACTGTAGCTGAGGAACAACTATGAATTATTAGGCTGGAATCTCAGGGATCTGCCTAAACACATGAATAATTGTGCAGCGTAAAGACGGGTTGAAATTATGCTACATTTGCAGGTCCTTCCACGCAAAGGAATGAATCTACAAAAGAGGATTGAGACAACGTTCATTTTATTTCTCTACGTCACTAAAGGATTCATTTGTGAACCATGACCATATAGCCGAAATACAAAATTTCAATTCGAAATGAATACAAATGGGGAAAATAGAATCACTGTCTTTCCCGTTGGACGGACCTCCCGAATAGCATAGAGTAACTAGCGAAAGACAGAAAGTGAAAAATTATGAAAGTATATCAACACAGAGTAACATAACTAAAGTTAGAAAGGGAAAATGATAGCATGTTATATATAAAGAATATATCAGGGAAGGAAAAAAAGAGAGGATATCAACATAAAATAACACAACGAAAGACAGAAAGCAAAAAGGATAACAACACAGAGTAACATAGCAAAAGACAGAAAGCGAATGTGATAAAAGGATAACAATACAGAACAACTTAACGAAATACAGGAAGAATAATGATAAAAGGGTAACGAAACAGAATAACATAAGGAAAAGTAGAAATCCAAACTTTTGAATTGATAAATACACAGAGTAACATAAAGAAAGGTGGAATTACAAAATAATAACAAGATACCCACAGAGAATAACATATGTGAATGGGACCTTGGCTTTTAACACAATACATACCTTCGCAAGTGGGTGGCTCTTTAGTCCACTTTCCAGTGGGTGCGTTACCGCTTAGTTCACAGACGGTATTTAGTTCTTCAGAGGTGGCGGTGAAGCCGGGTTTGCAGGAATAGGTATAATCCTGGTTAAGGTTCCTTCGTCCACCAGACACTGGTCTTGTATTAGTACCTGCTCCAGGCTTAGCACAAGTGATCTCTGTATTGGTTAAAGAATAATGTGGAGGGCTCATGTAGTTCAGCAGTTCAATGAAGATACACAATAGAAATTAAAATTAAAAGAATATGCCTCATCAATTCTTTCCTCAAATTTATCATCTCACCAAACTGAACGAATGCCCGCGTATTTCAACAGTTAGACTATCTGAGGATAAGTACAAACATGTGGCTGTTAAAGGTAGTTTAAGTCTAATTCCTGCGCTTCCCATTACACTGTAGCTGAGGAACAACTATGAATTATTAGGCTGGAATCTCAGGGATCTGCCTAAACACATGAATAATTGTGCAGCGTAAAGACGGGTTGAAATTATGCTACATTTGCAGGTCCTTCCACGCAAAGGAATGAATCTACAAAAGAGGATTGAGACAACGTTCATTTTATTTCTCTACGTCACTAAAGGATTCATTTGTGAACCATGACCATATAGCCGAAATACAAAATTTCAATTCGAAATGAATACAAATGGGGAAAATAGAATCACTGTCTTTCCCGTTGGACGGACCTCCCGAATAGCATAGAGTAACTAGCGAAAGACAGAAAGTGAAAAATTATGAAAGTATATCAACACAGAGTAACATAACTAAAGTTAGAAAGGGAAAATGATAGCATGTTATATATAAAGAATATATCAGGGAAGGAAAAAAAAGAGAGGATATCAACATAAAATAACACAACGAAAGACAGAAAGCAAAAAGGATAACAACACAGAGTAACATAGCAAAAGACAGAAAGCGAATGTGATAAAAGGATAACAATACAGAACAACTTAACGAAATACAGGAAGAATAATGATAAAAGGGTAACGAAACAGAATAACATAAGGAAAAGTAGAAATCCAAACTTTTGAATTGATAAATACACAGAGTAACATAAAGAAAGGTGTGGTATGTGGGTAAAAGGGGGGAGAGAGAGGATGATTGGGTTCAGATACACTTACGATTGCAGGAATTTCCATCGCCTACGAATCCTTCATTGCATTCACACTCATAAAATCGTTATCAGAATCATTCGCGCAATCCTCATTTTCAGAATAACCAGAGATTTTATTTTCAATACCTGTTCTTGCATTAAAATCTCCTAAAATTCAAAATAGCATATTATGTACACGTTTTACCATGAAAAAATAAGAAACAATGTCATCAACATAGACTCGTTGAAATATTTAGAAACAGCATCAAGTATAAAGGCAAATCCAAATGCTTTTTCGCTGATCTTTAACCAAAATACTGGTTCGGATTTAACCTGTTTAATAATTGACACAAAATTGAACATTTCTTTTCGTAATAGAACACCAAGTCCATGAACGCCACGTAATTAGAAGTTGCTTTGACTTGGTTTGCCTTTAAACAGGTATTTGAAGCCATCTGGTAAAATAGATTCATGAATATTTTCAGTTTTAGTTTTATTTAAACTTACAATATTAAAATCATTAATGTACTGTTGTAATATTCCATCATTTGATTTTATTCTTAAAGGTAATGCAAAGTTTAGGCCAATAATTTCGAAAATTGGATTGATAGTAATTCTTTACAATTTAGGTATATTTGGACGCCCCTGTAGATGTGTTATAAGCACTAGAAAATGTAGCCCCTTAAACACTTTCACTTTCGAGAAATTGAATAATCAAAAACTTAACGGTGCTCCCGTTAAATTTCTAATATTTCCAATAAAGCCTAAGGCCATTCCATGGTACATGCGACCATGAAAATATCAGAATATGCAGTTCTGACAGTTACGTACGCAAGATTTTTTCAAGGGGGGGGGGGGGGGGGGGGGGGGGGGTAAGAGCACATTTTTTTTGTGTCCCAAAATTTGAAAATTTTACCGATCGATATTGGGGGGGGGGGGTAAGGTCTGCTCTTTTGGGTCATCAATTACCACAACTTTATTTTTTTTTTCATAATTATTATGGAAAAAGAAAAAAAGGGGGGGGGGGGGTATCCAAAACGTACACATGAGAATTGTTAAAGGGGGGGGGGGTTCCCCCCCCCCTGTGTACACGCCTGAGTTCTGATATATAATTCCAAACGGGAATAGCAAATTGGTCGATCGTAGTCAAGAGACATTGTTTTAGAGCTAAAGTAATATTAGTCTTGAGAGGGCGCTATACAGCATAAAGAGTTTATTATCTACAATTTCATCACTTTGGGCTCGATTTCAACCGCGACAACGATCATTGAATATTGTAAAATCGCATATGCTTCCAAATTCATTTGAACCAAATTCATGACCCCATACAAAAACGTTACCTTTAACCCGCAATATTAGATGCGCTCAAGGTAAGCTACGCTTAATTTGGCACCTTGGTAGAAAAAGATCAAGCTGACTCTGGACAATAAAGGGGATGTCTAATTTATGGGAAATTTGTAAAAATACTAGTTGTAATTAATGGGTCAAAAATTATTTATGTTTAGAAAGATCTCATTAAAAGAGATCGGACAATTTTAAGTCGTTTTCGCTGTGCAATCATTACCTGCCGATTGTAGCTGGTCGACATTCAAATACTCCCATGAAAATGAGGTTATGAACGCTTTGCAATTTGCAATCAATTTGGGACGAGTTTCATCACTTGTTTGTTTGCCCTGTCTTTCGTTCAGACAGAAAATTGTCCATCAATAAATATTTAATTGAAAGACCAAATACACTGAAAATGGGTCAGCTGTTTAAAGGCCCACTGCACTACTTGTAGCTACTTGCGCCCTCTATATAACAAACAATGCCTAATCGGTGACCATTGGTCCCCCATGATCCTCTTTTTCTTATGTTAACTGAGAGCTGAGTTGATGAGATAACCACCCGTCCAGTGACCTTGCAGGGCGGTCTAATCCCTCCTGTTAACTACGGCAGGTAAGCTTTAAGTCCTGGCCATGTGAACAAACACGTTTAAACTTAGTAAAATGCTGTTGACAAATAATGCTTTGTTCTCTTTAATTTAATTATGTGCACAAAACATGTTATGAGTTCAATATTAATAAACTTTATGTTTCTCTTTTTTGTGTTTTATCAAATTATTAAATTGATATCAAGAATATTTTCAGTAATTCTATACATTCAGATATCAGTTAATTGATGCCAGTAACTTTCCTTTTTTCTTCAATTGCTTCCATCAATAAAATTTTGTCATTAATTATTGTTGTTATTATTATCATCGTTTATAAAAAAAATAGTAGTAGTATTATCATTATAATTAAATATAATATTGTTATTACTATCTTTATAATTATTATCATTATCATCATAATTTTTCTCACTATTGCCGATAGTGTAATTTTATTGAAAGTGATAGTTAAGTTCTTGTTTCAGACCGCAAATACCTTCAAAGCGCATGGTTATTGCTCTTATTCTTATTTATGACATTTCTAGTGCTCTGTTAGAACCTAACATTGCTAGGAAGGTAATTATAGACCCCAAAATGTGTGAAAATTATCCAATACGATCATACCTTAAAAAATTAAAAAACGGTGACCGTTAATCAATCAATTAGTTAATAATAATAAAATTTGGGCCGGCTGGCTGTGCGTATTATTATCAACATGAAAAAGCCAACAAAAAGCCAACATCGGCATTGGCTGCAATAAAATGTATAAGGCTCCATCTCGTTTTTTCCAACTGCTGGCTATGTGGGGCTCCCCACGTATTAGAAATCGTTATATTTATGGATAATTTTATGTCAGCCGTCTCTGAACCGATTTTGATCAAACAAAGATGATTTTGTCATTTAATTTGTATGTACTTTCAAATGTAACACTCAGTTTTTCATTATCTCACACAAATTATTGTGTGTAGCGCCCTCTGCAACAAAACTCAACTATTAATTCGATTTGAATTGTATATTGTACAATGTTAAATTGACAAATTCAAACTGATTGTAGTTTAACTTCCACAATACCCCAATGTGGGTGACATGAGAATAAATTGTCATTGTCATTGTCATTGCTCTAATCTTAAACCTGGCCATGGGTTATGTAAATGTTAATTAGGCGTATTGGGTCAAACACAAAATGTGGAATGTTGTCTCGAAAGGGTTTACTCACCAACTTTGACGGTCAGGAGATACTTGTAGGTGCAGCATGCACCGCCCTCACAGGCCTTGCATTCAATATCGCATTCGCCGAGGGCGACCTGCAGTCGTTTTCCGCTAACATAGGGACCACAATCGAGCGATTCGACCTCTCCAGATATTGTTTTCCATTCTGTTAGCGTGACCCACGTGGACGTTTCGTCGGAAGCCAGGTAGTGAACCTCGTCCTCATGCGAAATGACGGGACACACGGCTGCGTAAAATAAGAAGTGAAATTTGGTTACTTTTGGAAGTTTTGGGCGGACTCTTTGTATTTTTTTGTTTTGTTTTAGTAAGATCTCGAAATCAATGTCTTTCTTCCAGGAAGAGGGGTCATGGTTTAGTGGATACGTCAGGGACTATGGATCACACGTTTGGTTCGCGGATCGAGCCCCGCGCTTCGACACGACGTGTGCGATTTGACTGTAGCTACTATACTATACTCCCTTCACACAAGACGTTATTTCGATCTCGCAATACATGAATAGCTGCGCCATCAAGCCTATCAAAAAATATATTAGCACAATATTTAATAACATTGCGAATTTAAAGTTAGAAATATATATGCATTTTTCTTTCCAAGTTAGTTGAACTGTTTTTTAAAATAATTTATTTTATATTTTTCCCGTATCGAAATTAACCTTATTTGCAGAATTTCCTCAAATTTATTCCAAGTAATCAGCCGCAAGCATATCAGTTACTCCTATACACAGAGTGTGGAGAGTGGCAAATGTTGAAAAAAGGTTTTGCCGTAAGCCTAGTTATGCCAGGTTGGTATTCAATCCCTAATTTGTGAAGGTGCTGTGGTCCAGTGGATACGTGGCAGGACTGTGAAGGGCAAGGTACGACATTATTAAAAGGTACTATTTGCAGTCCAAAAATTGAAAAATTTGAATTGAAAGATAAAACTTATTGAGAACTTCCTTCAAAACGAAAAGGCTTGAAAATGTCTTTTTTTCGTGGGAAAA